GTCTTAGTTTGTTGTAGTGGTAGCTGGAATACTGCTGGAATACTGGAGCTATGATACTGGTGTTTCAAATGCCAGCAGTGTCACCCATGATGGTCAGGTTTCACTGGAGCTTCCCATAGTAAGAAGGACTAGGCAATCCACTTCTGAGGGATTGACCCCTGAAAACATTATGAATAGTAATGAAATATTGTCTGATATAGTGCTAGAAGAGAAGTCTCTCAGGTTGGAAGACACTCAAAATATGACAGGGGAAGAGCTGCCTTCTCCAAATAGACTCTACCTTAATGACATCATGAATGGAGCAAACTTTCAATTAGCTGATGGGGCACAACTCAAAATGAGACAGAGATAGAATTTTGTAATACCAATGTCTTTCTTATTGCAATTACATTTTTTCAACAACATAAATGGTGACTATACACATGGACCTCATCAAATGGAATACATAGAATATACAAATTGATTACATATGTGTGAAGAGACAATGGAGAAGCTCATTATCATCAGTCAAAACAAAGCTGGAGCCAACTGTGGTAAAGACCATCAATTTCTCATAGACAAGTTCAGGTTCATTAAGATCACATACTATAAAATATTACTGAAGGTTTTTTTAATGGTTGCAGCAATACAACAAGAAGCTGCCAGAAATTCCAGGGAATTCAGAAAAGGACATGGAACAAGGAATGTCACTGTTGATATCAGATAGATGTTGGCTGAAAGCAGAGAATACCAGAAAGATACTTACTTGGGTTTTATTGACTATGCAAAGGCATTCAGCTATATGGATCATAACAAACTATAGATAACATTTAAAAAATGGGAAATCCAGACACTTAACTGTCCTCATGCAGAACCTGTATATAGAAAAAGAAGCAGTTGTTCAAACAGAACAAGCAGACACTGCATGATTTAAAACGAAGAAAGGTGTGTACCAGGGATGCAACATTTCACCATACTTATTCAATCTGGATGCTGAGCAAATAATTTGAGAAACTGGAATATATGATAAAGAGTCCAGCATCAAAAGTAGATGAAGACTCAGTAACAATACTCAATATGCAGATCACACAAGCTTTTTTGCTAACAGCGAAGAGGACTTGAAGCATTTAGTGATGAAGATCAAAGAGATGCAGGCTTCAGTATGGAGTACAACTCAATGTAAAGAAAACAAAAATCCTCACAACTAAACCAAATAAACAACATCATGATAAAAGGAAAAAAGATTTCAATTGTCAAGGATTTAATTTGCTTGGGTTCACAATCAATGCTTATGGAAGCAGCAGTCAAGAAATCATATGGCATATTGCATTGAGCACATCTGCTGAAAAAGACCTCTTTAAAGCATTAAAGAGAAAAGATGTTGCTTTGAGGACTAAGGTATGCCTGACCCAAGCCATGGCATTTTCAATCATCACAAATGCACATGAAAGTTGTGCAATAATTAAGGAAGACTGGACAAGACTTGGTGCATTTCAATTATCATGTTGGTGAAGAATATCGAAAGTACCATGGACCGCCAGAAGAACACACAAATCTGTCTTGGAAGAAATATAGACACAATGCTCCATAGAAGCCAGAACGGTGAACTGAGTTTCTCATGCATTGGACATGTTGTCAGGAGAGATCAGTCTCTTGAGAAGCACATCATGTTTGGTAAAGTAAAATGGAAAGTCAGCAAAAAATGGGGAAGACTCCCAATGAGAAGGATTTGCATAGAGGCAGTGACAATAGGCTTAAACATAACAATAATTGTCAGGATAGCATTTTATTCTATTGAATAGAGGGTTGCTATGATGCCAAGCCTACTTGACAGCTCCTAACAGCAGCAGAGTACCTCAGAAGACAAGACTGGTGATCTGCTTTTCTCAAGGTCACAACCTTGAATACCTTATGGAGCACTTCTACTCCACATATTGACTCGCCATGATCTGGAATCAGCTCGATGGCAACTAGCAACAACTGCCTCATTGCTTTTCTCGTGTCATTCTAATAGCAAAGACATAGACTTAATAGATGTTTCACTGTGAATGCTTCTACTTTTTAGATTTTCCTCAACCTGTCAGCACTAACAAAAAAGCTCAACTTTCCACCTTACTGACAGACTAATGGGGCTATCCAAGTTCTCTAAACTTGCATGCTCTTTTCATCAAATGCTATTGATTGAACTGTAACCTCTAAAATGATATATTGAAATCCTATCTCCAATACTATGATGTGACCTTATTTGGACACAGAATCTTTGGAGATGCTATCAGTTAAATTTATATTGTTGCTGTTGTGTTTATTCCAATTCAGGGCATCCCTGTATAGGGTTTCTGAGGCTATAAATCTTCACAGGAACAAGTTATTTAATGTAATATGTGTTGTCTTTATAAAAGAAAGAGCAGACAGACACAGGAGGAAGAACGCCAGGTGAAAATGCAGCTACAATCCAACAAAGGCCTGGGGCTACCAGAAGCCAGAGAGATACAATAGGATCTTTCCCTAGGGCCTTAAGGGAGATCTTGGCCTGTTTTTGTTCTGACTCAAAGAGTGGTTGGTAAATTTGAACCACTGACATTGTGATTAGCATACAGTGCTTATCCTATAGACTACACCAAAACTCCAATTGAAGCCCTGGTGGTGGTGGTGGTGGCTATGTGGCACTGAGTTGTTTTTGACTCACAGTGACCCTCATATAGGGTTTCCAAGGCTATAAATCTTTACAGGAGCAGAAAGCCTCATCTTTCTCCCACGGAGGTGACTGGTAGATTTGAAGTACTGACTTTGCAATTAGCAACCCAGCTGATAACCCACTACACTACCAGGGCACTGGCATTATTGAAAGATTCTATGGAAAAATATTGAATGATGCAGAAAGCGTAAAAAGAAGATAGGAGGAATACGCAGATTCACTGTACCAAAAAGCAATAGTCGATGTTGAACGATTTCAAGATGTAACATATGATCAAGAGCCAATGATCCTGAAAGAAGAATTCCAAGGTGTATTGAAGTCATTGACAAAGAACAAGACTCCAGGAACTGATGGAATACAAACTGAAATCTTTCAACAAACTGACAAAGCACAGGAGGCAATCACTCTCATCAATGTCAAGAAATCTGGAAGACACCTACCTGGCCAATGACTGAAAGAGAACCATATTTGTGCTCTTTCCAAAGAGAGGTGACCCAACAGAATGTGGAAATCATTGGACAATATCATTAATATTCCATGCAAGCAAATTTTTTTTTTTTAAAGGTAACTAAAAAATGGCTGCAACCATACATTGACAGAGAACTTCCAGAGGTTCAAGCAGGATTCAGAAGAGGACAGAAGCGGAATGAAGGATATCATTATGACATCAGATGGATCTTAGCTGAAAGCAGAGAATATCAGAAAGATGTTTATCTGTGCTTTACTGACTATGCAAAGGCATTAGACTGTGTGAATCATGACAAACTATGGATAGCATTGTGGAGAATGAGTATTCCCAGAACACTTCACTTTGCTCATAAGAAGCCTATACATAGACCAACAAGAGTCAGTTGTTCGAACAGAGCAAAGGTTCACCAAACGGTTTAAAATTAGGGAAGGTGTGACAGGGTTGTATTCTTCCACCATACTTATTCAATCTATATACTGAGCAAATAATCCAAGAAACTGGATTATATGAAGAAAAACATGGCATCAGGATTGGAGGAAAGCTCATTAACAACCTGGGAAATGCAGATGATGCAAGCTTTCTTGCTGTAAGTGAAGACTTAAAACACTTACTGATCAAAGACCATAACCTTCTATATGGGTTACACCTCAATGTAAATAAAACAAAAGTCCTCACTACTGAACCAGTAAATATCATCCATATAAATGGAGAAAAGATTGAAGCTTTCAAAAATTTCATTTTGCTCGAATCAACCAACACTCGGGGAAGCAGCAGTCAGAAATCAAACAACATATTGCATTAGACAAATCTTCTGCACAAGACATCTTTCAAGTGTTGAAGAACAAAGATGCCAGTTTGACGACTAAAATGTTCCTGATCCAAGACATGGTATTTTCAATAACCTCATATGTTGGACAATGAGTAAGGGAGACTGTTGAAAAAGTGATACATTTGAGCTATGGTGTTAAAGGAGAGTATTAAAAGTACCACAGACTGCCAAAAGAACAAACCAATCTGTTTGGAAGAAGTACAACCAGAGTGCTCACTGGAAGCCAGGAAGACCAGACTTCATCTTTCATACTTCAGATATGTTGTCAGGAGGGACCAGTCCCTGAAGAAGGATATCACATTTGGTAAAATGGAGGCTCAGAGAAAAAGAGGAAGACCCCCAATGAGATCGATTGGCACAGGGGCAGCAGCGATGGACTCAAATGTAGCAATGATTGTGAGGTTGGTACAGGACCAGTCAGTGTTTCGTTCTGTTGTACGTAGGGTCGCTATGAGTTAGTACCAACTTGATGGCACCTAACAACAACAACAACAATCAAGGCTCCTTCACAATGGTCCCACTGACACTCTAATCTAGGACTCCCAGCCTCCAGAACTGTGAGACAATAGATTTCTAGTCTTACAATATACCTACTTGTGGTATTTTGATATGACATCCCCAAGAAACTGACACATCATTGCCAATTTCCCCTTCATCCCTTTTGTACCACCAGCCCAGATCTCTCTTGGTTAAAATCCCCACCCATATGTGCATCCTCCACAATAGCTTGCTCTTATATGATGTTCAATAAATGTTCATTAAAGTGATTTAATATACTTTTCAGTAAGTATTACAGAATCATCACAATTTTCAAAATATCAATAGAAAAATATCCTTGATACAATAGTAGGTTACAAACACATTTTTTGCTTGTACTACATAAATCATAAATTCAATTAAAATGAAAATTCAGATTTTCAGAGAAAAAAAAAATTTCAAATTAGGCCTATGAGATACTTCCCCTTTCTTTACAGTTAAAAAATAAAGCCCAGGCATAATGTAAAGACATCCCCATCCCCACTCCTGACCAAATCCCCAAGTGGAGCTGTACCTCTGAGTACAGGTATTTTCGCTGTGTTCACAGCTGCCATGGACATGTATTCACTGTTAGGTTCATGCACGATGGATTGATACTTCTGAAAGAAAACAAATCAGAAACATGGTTTGTCATCTGCTCTTCCCCTATGCCATCATAGTGCCCATGACTATCTTACTTCCTTTTTCTCTGTCTTTTCAAGTTTGAGTTTAGCACAGATAGACACACTCTCTGGTCAAGGACCACATCTTGCACGTATTTAAATATTCTCATACTTGCATAGCATGAAAATTTGAGTAAATTATTTGATTGCAAAATCTATACTATGAAAGATTATAATAATTATATTCAAATATAATTATTATGATAACATAGTCTTAAAATCTCTCTTTTGCTTTGTTTTTATCCAGGAGAAGGCAATGGTTCTATCAAGACTGAAATGTTCACAGTTCCTGACAGAGGTGTGCACATTATATAGACTATCTATCTAGCACTTCAAAAGGCAGTTGCTGAAAGGAGAGCAATAATCTGTAAACTCACCAAAACAAAGGAAAACTGAGGTTACTACTGTTGTTTTAACCTTTCTGAGTAGATTTCCGTGGTTTTCTTTAAAAGCAGGCAGTGTAATCACTTATCATGGGAAAAAACTGGCCATTTCCTTTTAAGCTACTATTGGTAGCTTGTAAGACTTTTTCACTGATTGTTTTTGTTTTACCAGTTGAGTGAAATTTGTACTGAAGCTAACTTTTTCATCTTTGTCCTGACCCTTAAGAAAGCTGGAATCAAATTTGTAGCTGTCCTTTAATATCTTTTAAGAATCTTGTTGTTGTTGTTATGTGCCGTGGAGTCAGTTCCAATTCATAGCGACTCTGTACAGGGTTTCCGAGGCTGTAAATCTTAACGGGAGCAGAAAGCCTCATCTTTCTCCCGTGGAACAGCTGGTAGTTTTGAAGTGCTGACCCTGAGGTTAGCAGCCCGATTTGTAACCATCACGCTATACTCTCTTTTTATGTTTGACCTTCCTCCAGGCTTTTTGCCTTTCCTTGACCCCAATATCCTTGTCTTTAAAAAAAAAAACAATAATAATATATCAGACTGTTAGCCATAAAGTCCTTTTTGCAGTAAAATCATCTATAAAATAAATAAATAAGCTCTGTTATTTATTTATTCTATAGATAAAGTGTATCTGTAAGTATATCTTGGGCAAGAAACCCTAGTGTAGCACTGTAGGAAAAGCACTAGACTGCTAACTACAAGATTGGCAGTTCAAACCCACCAGTCACTCCTCTGAAACCCTATATAGGGTAGTTATGACTTGGAAATGACTCCACAGCACTTTTCAACAACAGCAATGTTGGGGAAAAGGAACTGTCTATCTGGCAGTCAAATTACTTTAGTAAGAGCAATGTGAACTTCAGAGGAAACAGCCTTTAAGCTATGGGTTTCAGTATTTTTCCTATTTCATTTTTTTCTTATAAATGAGATATATTTGTTTTTTAAAAATATTATGACTTAACTCTAATTCAGTGGTCTATATGATTAAACTCTAAGACAAGATTCTCATCAACATTACTTTGTAAGAAGATGCAAGAAAAAATTGCTCACCTTTTTGGTGAGCCAACAAATAAATACACAGCCCGAAATGATGAGTACAACAAAAGGCGCACATATGATTGACAACCAGAACTTCAGGTGACAACCAAGCTGTGATTCTGGGTTGGAAAAAAGATAAGAAAAAACTCTGAGAATCAAATATCCCTTTTTAGCACTGCATCACAAAAAGTTATTTAATTAACTAAAGCTTTTCTTCATTGCAGTAATGATAGTTGGTGAATGGTAGTTAATATCATAGCAAACATCTGGAAACTAAAGCTTGAAAGACTAGATTTATACTCAGTGTACACGTATGTTTAGAAATACGGTTAATAGAAAGCTATGCCGTGTCTCTCTTTTTGCAAAAGAGAAACAATACGGAGCAAATAATAACACAAAACTATTATTTCCGATCATCTAATTCCAGAGGCCTGGTGTGGTGCTGAGGGTTAATGTGCCAGACCTGCAAAGCCATTTGAACTGCAAGGTCGATGGTTCAAGCTCACCAGCTGCTTCTCAGAAACCCTATACAGGGTCACTATGGGTCAGAACTGACTTGATGTCACTTAACAACAACAATTCCATTACACAACCCCAGCACAAATTCAAAATATTAAACCTTAGATGAACAGAGGAAACAGTCATTAAACTATGGGTTTGGGGAGTTTTCTTATTTCATTTTTTTCTTATAAATGAGATATATGTTTTTTTAAAAATAGTATGACAACTCTAATTCAGTGGTCGATATGATTAAATGCTATATTATTTAATAACAATAGTTATTTAATAATATTGTTCCTTATATGTTGTTGCTGTTGTTAAGTGCCATCAAGTTAGTTTCAATGCATAGTAACCCTGTATAGGGTTTCCAAGGAGAGACTGGTGAGCTTGAATTGCCGATTGTGCAATTCAAACTGACCTTGCAGTCCAGCCACTTAACCCACAGCACCTCACCAGGACACTGTTCCTTGTGTAGCTTCATCATAAATAACCCGCTGCTGTTGAGTCGATTCTGACTCATAGCGACACTCTAGGACACAGTAGAACCGTTCCACAAAATTTTCAAGACTGTAAATCTTTGCAAGAGCCGGCAGCAGACCTTGCGGTTAGCAGCCCAATGTGTATCCCACACCACCTGCACTCAAATGAACTTCAATACAAAAGATGCTTCCATGTTTCAGTATTTTATCAAAATGTATGAGTATGTACTCTTAAGCCAGGAAGATAAAAGCAATGCCTTACCATAAACATGCAAATATTCTCCATGAAGAATCTCCACTCGATAAGGAGGAGGATCTAAAATTGTTAGTTGGCAGAAGTAATAGCTAGTATAAGAGTTGTCCAAGTTATAAAGGAAAAAAGAGACACTGTTATTGGACAACTGAGATCGACAGGACTCCAGATTCTTAATGGTGGACACCACGTTCCCACTGTCCTTTGTTTTGGAGAGCTCACAGATGATATGCTGTCCTTTCAGCAACTGCATTTTAAATTGCTGGATAGTCTCAGGGTGTTTGCATATAATCTGCACACCTCTGTCATGAAATATGAACATCTCAGTCTTGGCAGAACCATTGACTTCTCCTGGATAAAAACAAAGCAAAAGAGAGATTTTAAGAATATATTATCATCATTATATTTTAATATAAAATGATTTCTCTTTATAACGTCACTTCTAGTGTTAAAGAGCAAAGATGTCAGTCTGAGGATTAAGGTGCCCCAAGCCATGGTATTTCCAATAACCTCATATGCATGAGACAGTTGCACAGTGAATAAAGAAGACTGCAAAAGAACTGATGCATTTGAATTACAGTAGTGGAGGAGAATATTGAAACTACCATGAACTGCTAAAGAACAAATCGATCCGTGTTGGAAGATGTGCAACCAGAATGCTCCTTGGAAGCCAGGATGGCCAGACTTCACCTCTCGTACTTCAGAGATACTGTCTGGAGGGAACAGTCCCTGGAGAAGGATATCATGTTTAGTAAAGTTGAGGGTCAGAGAAAAAGAGGAAGACCCCCAGTGATATGGACTGACACAGTGGCAGCATCAATGGGCTCAAACATAGCAATGATTGTGAGGTTGGCCCAGGACCTGGCAGTCTTTTGTCCTGTTGGGCCCAGGGTCACTATGAGTCAGTATTGACTGGATGGCACCTAATGACAACATTGTACCAATAAGGTTCTTTGGTAGGATAGTAGTTATGGGTTGGGCTGCTAATCTCAAAGTCAGCAGTTTGAAACTACCAGCCATTCCTCAGGAGAAAGATGAGGCTTTCTGCTCCTGTAAAGATTTACAGCCTTGGAAATATTATGCAGAGTTGCTGTGAGTAGGAACCAACTCCATAGCACACTACCACCACCACCATTGCACCATTAGAGCTGTACTCCTGGTTTGGCTCTGTAGGATAAGCACTGCACTGTGAACCACAAGATTGGAAGTTCAAACCTACCAACTGCTCCTCGGAAACCCTATACAGGGTCGCTATGGGTCAGAACCTACTCAACAACACATAACAACTTAACAATTGCACCAAAATGAAAGAACTTCACTTCCAAAAAGAAAGAGCATGCTAAAAGGTAAGAGTGTGCCCTAGAAAAACCCTGCTTATTATACATATTGTTGCTTTTGTTGTTGTGTGCCGTCGAGTCGGTTCCAGCCCATAGAGACCCTGTGAAGGATTTCCTAAGGAGCAACTGCTGGATTTGAACAACTAACCTTTTGGTTAGTAGCCTAGCACTTATTCTAAAGTGCCACACCAGGACTCTATATATGCACATGCAATATGCAATATATCAAACTGTAGTTTAGGAAAAACAAGTTTTAAAGGTTCCATAAAGCTTCAACTGAAGTCCCGGTGTGGTGCTGTGGAGTAATGTGCTGAACTATAAGGTTGGTTTGTATCGCAAGGTCGGCAGCTCAAGCTCACCAGCGCTCCTTGGACACCCTATACAGGGTCGTTATAGATCAGAACGGACTCAACAGCACTTAACAACAACGTAGCTTTAACTAAAAATTAATGATTACATAAGCATATACTTACATTGTCCCCTCCTGATGAACCATTTCCAAATAATAGCAACGTGTCTTCTCTGAACCTCACCCACTGAGAACTGATTTGAGCCTGGATAATAAACGTAAGGTGTGCTGGGAATAATGCGCTTGACCACTGATCAGTTTGAGTCACAAGGGTGGTGGTTCAAACCCACCAGCCAATCCTGGGAAACTCTATATAGGGTCACTATGAGTCAGACCAACTCAGCGGAACTTAACAACAGTAAAGGTAAGAAGTCCTGGTGTGGAGCTGTAGGATAAGCACTGGACTGCTAACAGCAAGGTTAGTGGTTCAAACCCACCAGCCGCTTCTCGGAAACCCTATACAGGGTCATTATGAATTGAAACCAGCTCAGCGACATTTAACAACAACAACAATTAAGGGAAAACCCTTGATTTTTGCTTACTTTTTCTTGTCATTTTGTTTTGTTCGGTTTTAAAATAAATTTTAAGCTTCTAGGAAGCTAAGATTGTTTTGTTTTTGAGCTACATGGGAATTATAGAAGGAAGAAATGAAAATGACTTTGAGTTGGATACAAATCCTGAGTTACTTTTGTTGTTTGTAGTTAGGTGCCATCTAGTCAGTACCGACTCTTAGCGACCTTATGCACAGCAGAACAAAACACTGCCCGATCCTGGGCCAACCTCACTATTTTTGCCACGCTTGAGTCCATCGATGCTGCCATTTGGCCAATCCATCTCGTTGGGCGTCTTCCTCTTTTTCTCTGATCCTCCACCTTACAAAATTAAATACATTCAAATTACTCATGTTTTTCCTTTTTTTAATATGACAAAATCTCTATTCTGAAATTGAGAAAGAAAAAAAAATTACTAGCATGACAGTTACCTAAGATTTGGAATCTCTGTCTTTATTCTTGACAAGATTACATAGCAAGTGTAGAATTTTTAGGGGAAAAAAAATACCCCATCCTCCAGTGAAACAGAAATTCTACTTTTATATTTTTGCTCTTTATCTTCAAGATCTATACTTATTTTATACAGCAAACAAGCTGTTGTCATTTAATGTTTTATCATAAACATGCTTCTTTTTGCACTGTTGTTGCTAGGTGTCACTGAGTTGGTGTCAACTCACAGCAACCATATATACACCAGAATGAAACACTGCCTGGTGCTTCCCCACCCTCACAATTGTTACTATGCTTGAGACCATTGCTGCTGCCACTGTGCCAATCCGTCTCATTGGAGGTCTTCCTCTTCTTCACTGACCATCCACTTTACCAGCATAATGTCCGTCTCCAGGGACTGGTCCCTTCTGATAACATGTCCGAAGTATGAGAGATGAAAAATCACCACTTTTGCTTCTAAGAAGCATTCTGGTTGTATTTCCTTTTTCACAGATTTATTTGTTTCTCTGTACTTTCAATATTCTTCTCCAGCATCATAATTCAAATGCACCAATTCTACTATGGTCTTTCTTATTCAGTGTCCAAATTTCCCAGTCATATGAGGTTATTGAAAATACCATGACACACCTTGGTCCTTCAAACTGATATCTTTGCTCTTAAACACTTTAAAGAGATCTTGTGAGGCAGATATGCCTAAAGCAATATGTCACTTGATTTCATGACTGTTGCTTCCATGAGTGTTGATGGTGGATACTGGTAAAATGAAGTCTTTGACAACGTCAATATTTTCTCCATTTATCATGATGTTATTTATTGGTTCAGTTGTGAGGATTTTTGTTTTCTTTATATTGAGGTGCAACCCACATAGAAGTCTGTGGTCTTCTATCTTCTAAATAGTCTTAGTCCTCTTTGCTTTCAGCAAGTAAAGTTGTATTATCACCATGAAGTAGGTTGCTAACGAGTCTTCCTCCAATTCTGGTGTCACATTCTTCTTCATATAATCCAGCTTCTCAGATTATTTGCTCAGCATACAGATTGAGTAAGTGAAAGAATATCACCCTGGCGCACACCTTTCCTGATTTAAACCATTGCATATCCCTTGTTTTGTTTGAACAACTGCTTCTTGTTCTATGTGCAGGTTTCTCATAAGCACAGTCAAATATTCTGGAATACCCATTCTTTGCAGTGGGATCTATAGCTTGTCATGATCCACATAGTTGAAAGCCTTGAACAGTTATCATAATCATACTTTTTAATGACCATATATTATGCCATCATGTTGATCTATCATAATCTGTTAACGTATTCCATGTTGGATATTAGGATAATTTTCAGCATTTACTTTTTATGTAAGTATTATGAAATTTTGTAAATTGTTTATTCCTATATTTCTTACTGAAAGGACTGGTCAATTTATAATAGTATAAGAAATATGTAAGCAGGTTTATTTGCCACAATTCTGTTTATACTAGTTGCCTTCATTTTATCTCAATTCATAATTAATACTTATTCAGAATATCTCTAGGCTTTCATTTTTATATTTAATATTACCTGAGGATAAAGTCTCAGCTTAGAGATATGATTTTGATATTTAAGGACAAGTGTTCCAGTGTTCAGCTATCAAGCTAATTCCCCCACTGACAACAACTAAATGCTGAGAAAAGGTCAAATTACCAGATTAAAAGTGAAAAAGGAGCCAGAACCTAAATATATGATCACAACCTGGTTGCTGCTTTTATTCTAAGAGCTGATCTCTCAAATTCAAACTTTGGCTCTGATATTTCTACTGTCAGAGTCTTTAAAGTTAGGACTTAAACAAAATAATATGTTGACAACAAGCTGGGATTTCAACGAGTTATGCCCTTCATGTACTGGTAAATGAGAAATAAGCCAGTCCTTATGTTGATGACAGCTCATCTTTTAATAACTTGGATATTTCAGGAAATCTCAATTCATGAATTTTGTTTTAGGTGATCTAGGACTATTAACCCTAAGCTTTTGAAAATAAAAATGCAACATATTCCTGGAAGAAAAGATTAAATGCTTAGGCCTCCAATCATTCCCACAATAATATTTAAATGTGATGATAGGTTGTTGTTGTTGTTAAGTACCGTGGAGTCAGTTCCATGGAGTCGGTTCCAACTCATAGTGACCCTGTACAAGGTTTCCGAGGCTGTAAATCTTTATGGGAGCAGAATGCCTCATCTTTCTCCAGCAGAACTGCTGGTAGTTTCGAACTGTTGACCTTGCGGTTGGCAGCCTGACTCGTAACCACTACGCTACCAGAGCTGATAGGTACATCATCAAAAGTATTCAGACATACAAGAAAACAAAGCAACAACAGAAACATACTCATAGTTAATATATTTGAATTATAAGATCTCAAATATAAAGCAATTAAACTTCTTATTTCATTTAAGGAAAAAAAGATAAAGTTGTAATATTATATTGCCTTATTTATTGATGTGTGAAGAGTGTTGTAGAAGAGTGACATACTTTATAATCATTTATTAAATTCTGTGTTTATGTTCCTTTGTATATAGATGTTTTCTTATACAATAGCAGAGCCCTGGTGGTGCTGTGGGCTAAGTGTTGGGCTGCTAACCTCAGAGTCAGTGGTTCAAACTCATCAGCGCCTCCTCAGGAGAAAAAAACCTGCAAAGATTTACAGTCTCAGAAGCCCAATGAGTCAGAGCCAACTCGATGGCAGTGGGTTTTGGTCCTACTACATAAAAGCTTGTTTCATTTGAAAAAAATAAAGAAAACAATGTCAGCAAAAAACAAGGCAACAAGAACTGCCAATGTGAGGGTAGGTGCAGTCCACATTAGAGTCAAATGAAAGGGATACTGTCTGGGGATTTATTTGTCTAAGAGTGAATTATGTTGCACAACTTTTTTATATATATATATATATACAATGTGTCGCTACTGTCTTTGTGGCACAAGATAAAATCAGGGAGTGGATTCTCAGTTCCTTTAGAGTTATTCAGAGCAAATCTCCCAGAGGCCAAGGTGTCAGCAAGTAAACCACAAAGATCTTGGCACAAAAGTGCCTGTGGCCACTCTGTGCACACACAGATGCAGATATACTTGTCTTTTATATACGAAAATGATTTTTTTTGTCAGCATTTCTGCTTTTGTGCCCACATTGTGACTTATAACCCAGTGTGAGACTAACTAAAATGGTAGACAGTGCAATGAGGTGGTTGCCTAGGAAACCAGAGCAAATTCTGTCTCTGTTTCTAGCAAGGCTCTGTGACTACAGTATCCTTCTGGATCTAAGCCGCCTCACCTGAAATAAGCAAATGAGACCAAAAGTCTTAAAGTTCTTTCCACTTTCTATGAATTCAGGACCAGAACACATTCAGATAAGACTAAAAATAACCAATATGTATTTTGGTGTTCGATGAATCCTCCAGAGGGGAAGTCTTGTTCCCATAACCCTCTGTCTATGCTTGTATCTTAACGAGCTATTCCAGGGAGTCTGGTGAGATGAAAATGAATGCCCATTGTTTTTAGGGTTTGGAAAGCAATGGTTCTGTTTTCTTGAGTGACAGTGGCAACGTTATATGCCACTGATCTCTGAGGATTCCAAATTGTTATTTCCATGGAACACTCCTACCTATTCAAACAATCATTTTTAACCTAGAAACTATATTGTTGTTGTTACCAAGTCAATTCTAACTTATACTGACCCTGCATAATAAAGTAGAATTAGAATTCCTAAATTCTAATCTTGATCAGAACAGTTCACCAGGTTTTTCCTCCACAAAGCAACTGGTGAATTCAAAACATTGACCATTCGGTTAGTAGCAACACATTTTAACCATCACCTCACAAGCGCTCTTTACAACTGTGTAGGTGGAACTTTTATTGTTAAATGCAGTAATCCAAGGCCAGATTCAGGTTGCCATATATGTAGTATTTAAGCTTTCCATCTGAAATTCCTTTTGGCAACCCTAAGTCTGTAATTTGAATGTTTTTAGCTAAAGGAACAAAGCATGGCATTCAGTCCGTGCTTCATAATTACTTTGGCACTTGTTGAACAGATATACTCAAATACAAATTCTACTTAGCTTTTAGTGGCATTTGGAAATTAATATCAAAAGAAGATCATCCCTTAATTCAATGAATAAATAAGTTAATATGTTCATTTCTTACAGCTGCAGAAGCATTTAATATCTTTTCTCTACCACCCCTGGATGTTCTTATCTCCAAGTCTAATATTCAGCCAGGAGTACTGGTTTGATACTATCAATTTTTATAACAAATGCCTGCTCTGATAGATTGGAAATCAAATCTGTTTCATCAGTTTACTTGTTATTCCAGCTGTCAAAAATGTGCCACCCTCACTAATCTAATCACTTTGTCTTACTCTCCCTTCCTTTTGCTTTTGTTTATATGTGCTTCCCACAACACTGTTGTTGTTGTTAGGTACCATTGAGTCAGTGCCGACCCATAGCGACCTTATGCACAGCAGAACGAAACACTGCTCGATCCTGGGCCAACCTCACTACTGTTACCAAGCTTGAGTCCATCAATGCTG